AATTGCCCCCCCCAGAGGAACCACTGCACCACGTGTCTCCGCTCAGTGCGACGCCGCCCGCGGCACGGGGGCAGGCTGCACATGCTGGAACGCAACGCGCCGAGAAAAGGACAGCATGTTCCCGCGCCCATGCATGGCCGAAGCCCGAGTCGAGCTCAGGAAGCGCGAGGGCTTCAGGATCGGTCGTGGGACATGGGAGGCCCCGGTCGCCCGAGATATCCTCGGAGAACGACCCGAGTCCCAAAAGCGTGCGGTGATCCCGACCCCACTGACTCACCCAGGCCAGGCCCGGAGGATCGAAGCCCAGTCCCCCGAAACGCCGACCTCCGCGTGCCCAAGTGGCGAAATGCTGCTGGTAGTTCGGGTGTGCTGAAGGTGTCCCTGGCCCAGGGTGCTTCCGGCTTTTCAGTTAAGTTTAGAACCCCTGGACTCTCTGGGCCTCATGAGGGATGCTCTGGAGGCCGTGGGGGGCTCCTTGGGCACCTTAGGGCCAGGGGCACCTCAAGCAACATCCGAGTGTTCCAGTGGTCCAGCCAGCGCCCACCTGTATGCTTATCATTAGCTGTTACTTCGCGCGGTTCCTACCCACAGCTCACGATGCACTGCGCAGCCTGGTTGCGCCGCCCTTCCATCCTGCACCCCCTCTCCTCATAGACAGCCCCTCCCTGTCGCACCTCCAGACTTGTCCGTATGCCGGGCCGGGAGTTTCGCCGGAAAATTCCTCGCCAACTATGATCCTGAAGCTGGGAGCTTGCAACGGTTTCAAGGATGGACCGCAGATGATTTTCAAAATTTGGTTTTTCGCCCGAGCGCCACGCACACTCGCCAACGAAAAGTTGCAGCAGCTTCAAAGACGGAGGCCGGCTTGTTTTCAAAATGTGGTGTTCACCTGAGCGCCGCGCACATTCGTGTTAATATTATGTAACAGCTTCAAAGATAGAGGCCGGCTCCTTTTCAAAATGTGGTTTTCGCTTTAGCGCCGCCTACATCCACACGACCCAACCTTCACCACCCGACGCACAAGAATTATTCGGCGCACATCCACCCGACCCAACCCCCAGCATCCTAGGCAACAAGTAGAAGTCAGTTCGCATCAATAGGACCCAGCCATCACCACCATAGACAATTGTTAATCGGCGCACATCCATGTGGCCCAACCCTGAACATTCTGCGCATCAAGCTGCATCGGGTGCGCATCTACCCGACCCAGCCCTCACCAGATGATGCAAGTGCATATGTCACTCTATTACATACAGACGGCCCGACCTTCATGATCCACATGGAAACTATACGGCGCACAACAAACCAACACAACCCTCACCATCCGATGCACAAGAACAGCTCGGTGCACATCCATCTGACCCAACCCTCACCGCCCGATGTAGAAGCAGTGTATGACGTGCGCATCTTCTAGTGTTCCACATCGTCTCACCCTCTGGCCCCGAAGAGCCCATAGCAAGTACAGAATAAACTGGTACGGTTCGGGCACCCCTCGCCGACTCCAATTTGGGACGCAAGCGCTCCCCAAGCTGCCTGGAGCGCCCCTGGAAGCTCCCAGTCGCTCCCGGACGCTGCATTCCCCCCCCAAGCGCCCCGGGCTAGCCACCACCAGCAGCAGCATCCGCATCCTCATCTTCATCGCCCCCCGTCGCCGAAGGAGGCCTCAAGGAGCAGATGAAATTCAGATCGCGTTGACGCGTGGACCACGAACAGTTTTCACACAATGGGCCTCTCGCCCTGCTGGCGCCACACACCTTCGCTTAGCCTTGTGGATGCCACGACAATGGACACCCTAACAGTCCTAATCCTTGAATTTGAAATGCGTGTTAAATGTCGGAAATGTTCAAAAATAAACATGTGCGTTAATATAATTAAAACATGTTGACGCATATATTCGACATCTGGAAATTATTTGGCAGCATGCTTCCTCTCCACTAATCGACTTCCACAAGCTTAGCACAACAGAAGAACAGCCAGAGGGCGAGCAATTTGCTAAACGGGGCTCTCGCCCTGGCGGCGTGCATCGTCAGCTTCCAAATTTCTCTTCCGCTGCGCGAGTGCACGGCGACTCCTTCCCAAAAACGGTGGGGGGACACTTCACTGGACAAAGAACCCGTAGATAAGGAATCCAATGTCTGGAAGCCGGCGGAACTCCAATCGTGGACAGGCCATGTATATCACCGCGGCCCTCTTGAGATGAGGACTCCTCCTGGGTCTGCAGCCTCCTGAACGAACGCCCCCACCGTGTTGGGGCCTCCCCTTGGCCTCGCGCACATTCGAATGCAAAGTCGACCGTCTACACTGACGTGACCCTTCCTCGACCTCTACGACCTGGCATTCCACAGTGTGCAGCAACTAACACGGATTGGAGGCGGCTCCTCTTGTGAAACGGGGCTCTCGCGTGAGACTTCCGAGAAGCAGACGTCTACGACGCTGACAGCCTGCAACGCTCTGACGGATGAAGGGCGTGTTCTTCTTACAATGAGGCTACCCCTGGGCCTGCTGGGAGGGCTCTCGTGTGGGACTTCCGCGAAGCATGCGTCTACGACAACGACAGCCTGCAACGCTTAAACAGATGCAGGGCACGTGCTTCTCAAAATGAGGCTGCCCTGGGCGTCCTTCAAATCAAGTGGAGGGAGGGTCCTCTACAATAGGCACACTCAATTGACTGGCGGACTGACCGGCCGCTGGTCATTCAAGGGGGGTGCCCGCAATGGAAAGAAATACTTGTATGGACTTATGAGAAAGGGACTTGGGACGGGAGGTTTTATTGCAGTATCGGTAGATGCATCGTGCGTTTACTCTGGTCTTACTCCTCCTCATCCTCCTCCTCCTCTTCCTCATCCTCCTTCTCCGGGGTCGCCCTCCCCTGCCTCCCGCTGGGTTCGCCTGGCAGAGCCGCAGCCCAGGGCTTGGGCTGCAGACGCGTGCGTCCGCCACCGGTGCGACCAAAGAGTGGTCCGCCACGGAGCTCGCGCGCTCCCCATCTCACGCGTGAACGACGGGGGGGGAAGCGATCAAAAAAGGAGGGGGTGCAGACAGCTGCACCACGTGCGCCCCTTCTGGGCCCCCTGCAGAGCCCCTACGGGGCACAACAGGTGCAGCGCTCTTCACCCCCCCGTTCATCGCGCCCCCGTTGCTCGATGCCCGACCATCCGCCGCGCCGCCGTCTCCAGCGGCCCTCGGCGGCCGCCGGCCGCCTCCCGCGGTCTCCGGACGAGCGGCCCGTTGCGCGCCTCTCCGCACGGGCGAGCTCGGGCTCCGCCGGGAGGGTGCAGCAGCGAACACCCGCACGGCGACGGCGCGGGCTCCTTCTCTTTGAACGGGCTGCTTGCACCCCTTCGGAAGACTCCTGGCAAGACACCTCTAAGGAGCCGAACTCTATGCACCGACGCCTTTGTCTTGGTCTCACACTGAATCTCGCACAGGAAAGCGGATCCTGGTGTATGTGGGATCCTGGTGTATACATTCTTCGTTGCTTCCGCGGGAAAACGGGGAAACAAGTATACACCACACCACCCCGACGTCGTCCCCGACCCTGGTAATGTATATGCTCCAGTTTCCGAACCTCGGTTGCGCCGCTCGGCAATGTCAAGCTGGCTGGTGCTCCAAACCCGGTTGCTCCAAGCCGGGATCGGAAACTACTCCGTGCCATCCCCTCTAGAATATCAAGTGGGACCCGCTCCCGTCCGCAATAGTTGAAGTTCGAGTGGCCTCTTCCTTTCCGACAGCCAAGACATCGCAGCCCAACAAAGCAAAGGTGAGGCCCCTGAACCTGCTGCATCAAGCGCACAGCCTAACTTCAGCTTACCCCACATGGTTGCACGAGTGGCGGACGAGGATCGCGAGAAACTTCTGGCACGACAGCGTGAATAACTGACTCGCCATCCTCAGTAACAATGAAGACACAGCAACATGGGGTCAGAGAAACGAGACCCGGGAGCGTAGAAGCACCCCATGCTCCCGACGACCGACGACTCGTCCCATGCTCACCAAAATTTGGGCTTTCTGCCCAAACGGTTCGATGCACGAACGCTGCCTGCGAAATTTAACTTGCCCAGGCCCCCGACGTAGGACTTTGCTCGCAACGTGGACCCCGGGAGGTCTGGACACCTTCCCCAGGACCAGCTCGTCATCCCGAATGGTTCTTGGACGGTCCTAGGAGTCCTCGGGGACGGCAGGAGGAAGACGAGGAGGAGGAGGAGAAGGAGGAGAAGGAGGAGGAGGAGAAGGAGGAACACAAAGGGAGGAGGAGGAGCAGGAGGAGGACGACGACGACGACGACGAGGACGACGACGAGGTTTGCACCGAAGACGCCAACGACGACAACGACGACGACGACGCCAGACGCGTAGAATCTGGCAGCATCGCAGGGCTGGCCTCACAAAGGAGGGGTTGCGCCAGCATTCCCCGCGGAGGCGGCAGCCGCCAGCAAACCCTGCCGGCGGGAGGGGGGAGGGACAGGAAAAGGGGAAGGCGGGAGAAGAATCGAAGTTCGACCTTCGAGGGCGGAAAGGGTTCTACACTAGCTTGTTATCCCTGGCTCTCTGGAGGGTTTCTCGTCACCTCGGCTGGACTCCCTTCGACATTCAAGGCAGAACGCGCGCAACGAAGGGTCTGGGACTGAGGTAGAATTCTCGGAGAGGGGGGCAAGGGGCAGGAAGTGGAGGAGTGTGGATGGAGAGGAAGACGAGGAGCAGGAGGCGGGAGCAGGGGAAGGAAGGGGGACGGAGGGAGGAGGAAATGGGAGGAATTATGAGGAGGGAGGAGGAGGTGTGTACGTTCACAGCGGCGCATCCAAGGCACCAGTTATGATGGCAATGAGGAGGGCAAGAACGTAACGGTGTTTCCCGTACTGTTGTGCGGGGGATGCTCGCCGAGTGCGACGTACTTCTAGGCTTTTCGACCTGCCCCTTGAAGTTCCGTGCGCTCACACGGATCACCCAACTCAGCAATCGTGCTACCAGAGCTGCAGTAGTGGCAGTCCAAACACCTGAACTAAAAGGACTAAAGAATTTCACCACACCGCAGTGGCGCTTCATCTGCGAAGTCACAAGGGGAGAGGAAGCAAGGGGAGGGGGGAAAGAGGAGCAGTAGAAGAGTCGCAAAGGAGCAGTAGTAGCGATGGCAATCACAATGGTCGTACAAGTAATCGCCGCGGTATGAATAATAACAATCGTACGAACACAAATAATAGTGACAGAGAAAAACATGGCCACAACCATGAACACTGCAAACGAACTAGTCACAATCTGAAACGTAAGAATGAGACACACAATCGCACTGGAAATAGGGCACATACGATTACAGGTAAGCAAGAGTTGCTATATCAGGCAGGACCGAACTAGTGATACTTATAGTGGGGAAGATCTTCAAGGTAGAAGCAGCCACCGTACTATCCGCAATCGGTTTAGCACTGCCAAAAGATGACGCAGTCGCGAACCAAACAAGCAATGGTACCTACAGCACTCGGAGGAGCGGCAGTAACAATGCAATGCGAAACGCACACGTTATACCACAAGCAAGAAGCATAGCAAGCATGTTCGTAGATGACGTAATGAAAATGGCGCAAGCAATAATCAAAGTCGTGAGGGGCATCATCATAACAAACAAAAACATCATCATGAGCATCAGTGGGATACGAATAGTATCACCGCCAATCATCATCGCGGTGCCCGCAATAGTGGCACAACAGAGTATGGCTGATAACGACAAAGGAGTCACAACGATAGCCATGATACCGCCCATGAGGTAATACTAATAATACAAGCAGCTGCGTCCGCAAAATGGCTACGAGAGCCCAACAACTCCCACCAGTCGTCGTCGTCGTCGTCGTCGTCGGCGTCGTCGTCGTCGTCGTCGTCGTCGCCGCCGCCTTCGTCGTCGTCGTCGTCGACGTCGTCGTCGTCGTCGTCGCGGTTGTGGTCGTCGTCGTCGTCGTCGCGGTCGATATCGTCGTCGTCGTCGGGTGCGTCGTCGTTGTTAGGATCATCGCTGTGGTCGTCGTCTCCGCTAAATCCCTAGTACATGTAACGGATACAGTGGTGAAAAGAACGTTGTGATAATAAAACGTGTGTAACAACAGCGACGGTGATATCAATAATCGCATCAATGACCATGACAACGGTCATGGCAGCATTGATAAGCATAACTGCATTCATAACCGCAGCCACCGAAACAAGGAATCGTAACGCCAGTGACGGTGACGATCGTAAACCATACCACATGCGATTACTCAATCCGTCTGAGGAAAGACCCAACCACATGCAGCTGCGAGAACCGCGAAGGAAATGAGACGAAGGAGTCGGGCACCCGAACACCGAATAGCGCATGCGGCATACCCTCTGCGCTCATCGGAGGCAACGCGCCGTAGGAAGAACGAGGCGCGGGGCAGTGCGAGCAGGGAGGGGGGGCGAATGGTTGGGACGCATGCGAATGTTCATTGGAGCTCCCGATGGGGCAACGAAACGCTGTACTGACTGTGGCAGTGGTGCTGGGGCCACGAAACGCTGTACTGGGTGTGGCGGACGCATGGGGCACCCCCACTGGGGCCTTCGGTGGAGCCCACAGATGGGGCCACCAAACGTTGTACTGGGTGTGGCGGACGCATGCGGGCACCCCCACTGGCGCCTTCCGTGGAGCTCCCTACGGGGCCACGAAGCGCTGTGCTGGGTGTGGCGGGCGCATGCGGGCACCCCCACTTGTGCCTTCGGTGGAGCCCCCTATGGAGCCACGAAACGCTGTACTGGGCGTGGCGGGCGCAGTGGGCACACCCACTGGTGCATTTGGTGGAGCCCCCTTGTGGGGCCAAGAAGCGCTGTACTGGGCGTGGCGGGCACATGCGGGCACCCCCACTGGGGCCTCCTGTGGAGCTCGCTATGGGGCCACGAAGCGCCGTACTGGGCGTAGCGGACGCATGCAAGCTACCCCCACTGGGGCCTTCGGTGGACCTCCCTATGGGACCACGAATGGCTGTACTGCGTGTGGCAGACGCATGCGGACACCCCCAATGGGGCCTTCGGTGGAGCTCCCATGGGGCCACGAAGCGTTGTACTGGGTGTGGCGGACGCATGCGGGCACTCACACTGGGGCTGTCGGTGGAGCCCTATAGGGTCACGAAGCGCTGTGCTGGGTGTGGCGGGCGCATGCGGGCACCCCACTTGTGCCTTCGGTGGGGCTCCTACGGAGCCACGAAACGCTGTACTGGGCGTAGCGGGCGCACGCGGGAACTCCCACCAGGGCCGTCGGTGCAGCCCCCTATGGGGCCACGAAACGCTGTACTGGGTGTGGCGGACACATGCGGGCACCCCGACTGGGGCTTTCGGTGGACCTCCCTATGGGGCCACGAAACGCTGTAGTGGGCGTGGCGGACGCATGCGGGCACCCCCAACTGGGGCCTTCGATGAAGCTCCCTATGGGGCCACGAAACGTGTGAGGGTGTACGAGAGTGAGAGGGGCGACGGGAGGAGGGGGGAGGGAAGGAGGGGGCAGCGGGAGGGT